CAACCATGGAAACCATGCGAGGGGGTGGGGGTGGGGGCGGGGCGGGGGTGTGGGGGGGGAGTGGCGGCGGGGGATGGGCCAGCGGCGCGCGGCGGCGAGGTCGTGGCAGGAGGCGGCGACGTGCTGGAGGCGGAGATAGGATTGGTAGCGACCGATCGACGACGTACGTACGAGAAGCGCTAGCTAGCTATTGATGTATACGAAACCTATTTTTATTTTACGCTAACCACTACCCCACAGGACCAGCTGGCCCATATAACCTTATTTAAAAAATAGGCCCATATCACGTGGATTTAGGCCCAGCTGGGCTACGCAGGAGGGATGAGGATTGGGGACGCAGTAAGATTAATACCACCTTGTCAGATAAAAAAAGATAGATGGGACGAACAGATAAAAAAATAAAAGCGTAAATCTAGCCCTAATAATAATAAAAATGAAAGCATAAATTTACGAAAAGAAGCGTATTATAACGGTGAACCACGGAGTCAATTCGTACTTTATTATTAAGGAGAAAATAGGTATTGGAATAGATTAGGGATATATATATATATAGGACAGGGCTATTCTGTTATTAGTAATAAAATAATATTTTGTTACCCCGCGTCTATAGAGAGACGTGATGCGTTTTCCCGAATCAGTAAAAGAAACAAAAACATCCCACCCTAACGGCCTAAAAAACAAAAACGTACCCATCCTCTCCTCTCGACACTTCCTCCGCCTCTTCCTCCGTGCGCGTCGGCCGCCTTCCTCCCCACCGCGCCGGCCGCGTCCCTCCCCACTGTGCCGTCCACCTTCCTCCCCACCGCGACCACCGCGTCCCTCTCCACTGCGCCGGCCGCATTCCTCCCCACCGCGTCGGTCGCGTCCTTCCCCACCGAGCCGGCCGCGTCCTGCCCCACCATGCCGGCAGCCTTCCTCCCCTCCCCGCTTGCTTCGTCTTCCTCGCTCTACCAGCGCCGCCATCCTCCCTCCACCCTAGCGCCACCCACCTCCCTCACCAGCCGCCCTGCCTTCCTCCACCGACCACTGGCCACCGGAGGTGCGGATACTGCCTCAACCACCTGCTCCCACCCCCCGCCATGACCCCTCACCGTTGGGTCGCTGGATCCCATCCTCGAGCGCCGGATCTCGTCGGCCCTGGAGCCGCGCGAACACCGCAGCTCCCATCTTGGCCCCGGCCGCCATCCCCCTACCCCCGAGCTCCACTCCAGAATCCCGCCTTTTACCCCTCAAGCTCCACCGCCGGGATCCCACTGTTGGTAAGCTCCACGGCCATCTCCTGCGTTGGGTTGTATGTGTGTTGCGTGTTGATGGTAACTGAAGTGAAGGATTTTCAAAATATGAACCACAAGAGAGGTTCACCCTGTACATCAGCTCAAGATCCATCATGTTAAATTATCCTTCGGTCCAAAATGTATGAACCACAAAGGGAGCTCATGTTGCTATTTCTTTTTGCTAATGCTCATTCAAATCGCATGCTACTTATGTGCTAAATTTGATGCTCTATAGTTACTTGTCAAAATGCCCCTACGAGAACCAAAATATTTGTATAAAATTTGATGTTGTTGTTCCTATATTCTATATGAACCCTGCCTCCATCAGCTCCACTTCACCAGAGTCGTCAGTCCGCGGGAGTAGGGGTCGCAGGTTCACCCGATCGCGAGTCTTCTTCCATCTCCAAAAATCTTTTTTTAGTTCAGATCTTTGTCACATATTTCACTTCTATTACCTCAGTGCCAAAAGTGCCGAAAGTTGAAATTGCTTGTGGACCACTAGCTGAAAAAATTAAGCCATGTTCTAGTAAGTTATGTTTAGAGTTCATACTATACTAAATGTCCAAATTACATGGTGTGGTCTTCTGTTCATTCCGTTTCGTTTCCAGTTAACTGTAGCTGAACGTGTGTTGTGTTGATATTGAACTTGTGTTTTGGACAATTCTAAAGTGTTGTGTATACAACATGTATGCACATTTTGTGTTCAAACAAGTTTTGGTCCATTTACTGTTTAAACTTGCATCCTTACTGCCTTGAACTATGGTCTAGAAAAACTGAACTCATGCACGTACTTGCTGGTGCAGACTTGGTAGCGGTGATATTTTGGTCCGATTATATATCAACAATAGTGCAATGACAAAAAGAATATCAGTTCAAAAATGTATATGCATGAGGTTTGGGAGCCAAACAGCTAGTATTTTGTTGTTTTTAATTTTTTCTGGTGCATGGTTGAACGAGATAAAAAATAAAAAATGATGTACGATATATATTGTTTTCTTGTAGGAGGTTCAAAGATTGCCGTGGAGCAAGTTCAAGAGTTTAGTATGCCTGTGTGAGCTGTCCATGTCATTGCTGACTCTGGGTGCAATTTTATTTCTTCACTCTCTTGCTTCAGGTAAAAAAGAAATAAACTTGTGCGTCTTGACGCCATGACAAGCTAGCTCTTTGAGCACTTTGGAGACCATGTGCATAGTAAGAACTGGAAACAAATGCTCACTTTCAGTACAAAACAATGTGGTGGAAATCTATGGATGGATGATGGTTAGTGTGGTTGAATGGTTCAGTTTGCTTGCGTATTTCTCATTGTTCATTTCAGTTTGGTTATGCTACTCGAATGGTTCAGAAGCACATGTTTGAAGATGATTTCTCTCCATGTTTGGTTTTGCCTTTCCTGCTGATCTATTTTTTCTCTGAACTTTCAGTTATGGCTGCTTATAGAGAAGAGAGATGGTCAATATTGTTTGCTTGTGTATGCTAGTGAAGTGGCATGATTCATTTTTCTTGTACTTCAACTAGAAACTTTTGAGAAAGTACGCCCTCTTTGTTTTTGAGAAAAGTTCAAGTATGATTGTTTGAAAAGTACAAAAATGAATGTCTTGAATAACATAAAAAAAATATGCCTTGGACGTGAGTCCTCTAAAGCTAATTAATAGTCTGTATAATAGAAAACTTTAAGATGTCTTTCATTTCCTTATCTTATTTCAGTGAGAATTCCTCCAATAAACTGATGTTCTTATTTCAGTGACACACTCAGTTTAGTCCACGAGTGGTGCTGCCTCGCGTCCGGTTGACGGCCTCCACGAGCGCGAGCAGCCCATATCCGGCGGCAAGATGAAGGTCACCCATGAACCATGCTTCCCCTAATCACCTCCACCTTGTGTGAATTCGCAGCTGAGAATAAGCACAAGCACCTACAGTCCCCCGGTGGCTTTGGCCGCACTTGGCCACTAGCTCGTCCACCATGGTGACTGGCAGCCGTCCAAGTGGAACGCGGACATCAGTCCAAGTAGAACTAGTTCGTATAAACTGACTGTTATGTATAATTAGGGGATCCAATGTTGAAAAGTTCAATTAAGCTGTGTGTGGAAATTCAAAGAATTATTGTAGGAAAGTTTACAAGTTTGGTTTCGTGAGGAAAATGTATGATTTTCTATCAGTATTTGGTATGATTCATTTGCCTCGGGTGCAACCCAAAACTAGACAAAAACTAGACAAAAATGTCAGATGATGAAAACAAAAATGGTTTGAATTAAAAATATTGATCAGTACAAGTTAAAAATAGTGGTCCTTTCGGAATAAAAGAAATGACAGAAATTCAAATTGTAAAAGTTCAAGCAAAAAAAAACCCCATAGATTGTAAATGGTAAAAGTACAAGCCATAAAATGAGAGAAGTTCAGAACATCATTGTAAAAAAATGTTAAGTTCAAAAAAAAGAAACAAACAAAAGATTTTCTTTTTAAATAAAATATCATTCAGTTCGACGATATAAACTATATAAGTACAGGGGCACTGCTACCGTAAACCTTTGAAACTTTAAGAGGAAAACCTTACCCAAAAAACAAAGTAAAAGTTCAATCTGTGAAAACGTGCTTATTACAAATCCATACGGAGATCAGTTCGAGTACTTTATTTCCGGAACGAAAAATAAAAATACGACAGACTTCACTGTATTCAAAATTACTCTGTGAAATAATACATCAGTACAAACACACACAAAAAACAATACAAGTACTCTGTTGTTTCTAACGGAAAAAACAGCACGATGGGTTTCACCGTAATCCAAATTACTCTTCAACGGTTGTGAATTTGAGAAAACGTTCAACGTGACTAAGTTTCGTATTTTTGATATCTTTCCAACCATATATTATTTGCCTCATTTCAACAAACTTTTAAAAAAAATCGTGTTCGAAATCAAATTTGACTGTATTCGAATTCTTTTTTAAACCGTAAGGAATTAGAAAAACATTTCAATACAAAAACGTTGCGCATTTTTCATAGCTTTCCAACGCTGTATCATTTGCATCAATCCGACAAACCGTTTGCAAAAAATCGAGAAAATACATTTCAACCAGAATTTTACCGTTTTCCAAATTACTTTTAATTCGTATAGAATTAGAAAAAATAATAGATATATGGAAGATGCGGATTTTCACAAGCTTTCCAACGCTATCCTATTTGCTCAATTCCGACAAACCATTTGA